AGTCGTAACAACGTGAGTGAGGAAATTCGAGTAGTTTTGACCCAGAAAGCGAAATTTGAATATAACACACTTAGGTGCAAGATTATGCCAAAATTCCATGTTTTCCGGCCCGTTTTTACTCATATCTCGGAGACAATATGAGTAAGAACGCTCATTTGTACATCATTCTAGACAGAAATAAATGGCCTTTTTGGAAAGTGAACCATGGATGGGGAAATGTTGGCAGTTTTCTCAAACAAGGATCGAATTCAAGAAGTTTTAGATTTGCGTGGTTTTTTTTTTAGTTGCAAAATTCACTTGAACATGACGCTGCTTTTTTCGAAGTTTCTCAAGAACCATTCGAGCTACAGAATTCGTTTTGGCATCGTTGGATAGAGAATTGAATGTATCCGCCCTTGCACCTGCTGCATAATCAATACAAAGCAATGGAAAACAATGTTTGATTTTAATGGGAGAATCGTCCCATGACGAAACCTGAACGTACGAAGAACGTACCACTTTTACTTTCTTAAGAGTTCCCCCCAAAATCGCTAGTCTCGAAGCGATGAAGCAAATGAAACGATTGGCGATCATTAAAAGTCTGAATTTGTTCATCTGCAGCTCATTAGCAGGCACTTGGTTGCAGTGAGAATGCATTGCGCGAGTGTTTTCTTCGTTGTTTCGGCCCTTTTGGTCCTGATTTCGGCCCAGTCCAGCCCGTACACCAGCAAATACGACAATGTGGACGTCGACAAAATACTGAAGAATGATCGGGTGCTGACCAACTACATCAAATGCCTGATGGAGGAAGGGCCCTGTACGCCCGAAGGGAGGGAATTGAGGAGTAAGTTGAAAGTTTTTGGTTTTTTTTCTCTAGTTGGGTTGGTTTCCTTTAGAGACTCTTCCCGATGCTTTGGCTAGTGGCTGCTCGAAATGCAACGAAAAGCAGAAATCCACCACTGAGAAGGTGATCAGACATCTGCAGACCCGCAGAGCCAAAGATTGGGACCGATTGAGCAAAAAGTACGACCCCGAAGGCGTCTACAAGCAAAAGTACACAGCAGAGCTGAAGACTGAGACAACTGCCTAGGCACAAGCTGTAACCAGTTGATAAATGGCCAATAAAATAAAGTAAAATAAATTTAATTTTCCAAAAAAGTACACTTTTGTTTGTTGTCGCGACAGGTTTCAGTTCGTGGGGTTTCCATATTTCCTCACCAAGTCGTTCCACACGTTCGGGTACTTGTTCTGCACAAAGCGGGCGATTCGTTTAGCGTTCGACAATTGTTTGTTGTCGCAGGCTTTGCAGTTTTTTCCAATTATTTCGGGCAAAGCATCTAAAAATCAATAATCACTACAGTTTTAGGGGGGTTGAAAAGGGCGAAGAAGTTTGTCAATTTCCATAAGTCAACAAGTTAAACATTTCCTGGGGGAATTTTGGGGCTTGGCAGCCTTCAACGGCTGATGGGAACTAATAGCTCATTGCTCTTTGAATCTAGCCGAAACTGAAGTTTTGCTTTGGGTTTTAGCTTCTGCAAAAAACCCGAAAAATTGGGTTCAAAAAAACTTTCTGCCTGCAAAACCTTCTGCACTCTTGTCTGTTTTATTCGGCAGACATTCCTCCATTGGCCCTACAGAGAATCATTTTAGCAACAGATCCTCCCAATCTGGCAGACCTTTCCCTACTAGACTAAAAAAAATAAAGTCTGATTTTAGAAAATTCACTTTTAGCAGCGATGGAATGGAACATTTCCTGTTAATCAAGCAAGTATCGTTGACCTATGAAATAAAAAAAGACCCCAATGCGAACTAGTACAATTGCGTTATGGACTGAAGGAGCCAATTAACCTCGAAACGTTTTTATTTTTGCGCTGGAATGGGCCGCAACTTTCACTTGGATTTATCTTAGATATGCTCCTGAATCTAAAACTCGACTGCTACCGATTTCTTGCCTAATGTAGGTAGGTGCCCTTAAAACTGGATTAATGAAGAAAAATTAAGTTACCTTTGATTTGCCTGCCGAGATTGTCACATGGGGCGCGATCCAGAGCGCACAAAAGCTGTTTCTCCACATAAACGTTGCCGTTCAAAATCTGTCCCTGGACAAGGGCGAGCAGGAGTAGAAGCGCACCAAACTGGAGCCAAGATTGGGGGAAAGGGGCCATTTTTGGGTTCCACTTTAGGCCAAGATCGTACTAAGACTGGCGCCAAGTTCGGGCACCATTCCCAAGGAATGTTATTAAGAAGTAATGAGCACCTTTCACGGTACCACGTCCAGCAGGTAGGCAGGTAACCCATGTTTAGTCTAGGAGGGTTTTGCCTAATGGTTCATCTGAGTGATGGGGAATCACAGAAAACGTGGGAACCGTTAACAAGTGAATTATCAGGCGAAGCCTACTGGTCTAAGCTGCAACCAGGAAATGACTATCAGACACAATAAGAACTTCGGATTGTTTGGGTGATTACTTAATGGGTTCTCCCAATGAAAGGCACTTGTGGTAATCTTAATTTGCTGCTTTGATCAGTTTTGAGGTAGAGTGAGGTTGAAACTGGTGAATTTTCGCGTCTTTAAAGCCCTGAAAAAAGTTTCAGTGGTGCTTTACTGTAGTGATGCCACAAACCAGTATTTTTCAGGCACAGGTTCCATGTGTGACTGTTCCAAGCTCGTACCTGTTCCAAGTGTCTGTTATTTTTTGTCACATGTTATTTTGGCCCATGATAAATATTGGTAAAAGATTATTATTAAGTTGTTCGGAAGGATGTCAGAATATTGAGACTATAGTTTGTGCTCGATTTCCGGCTGTCGAACATTGTTTATAGACAATTATTTATAAATAATTAAAGAAAGTGCGAAAGCCCGTTTTTGTGCATAATTGTTGAACCGTTGATGCTATTGAAAAAAAGTTTTATATTTTTTTCAAGTATTAATAATACCTATGATATCAGATAAACTACATTAAAATCCGTTCATTAGTTTACTCAAAAATAAAAAAAAGCCGTCGATTTCAGCGTTTTGTTAAGTTTCAATAACTAATTTAGTTTTGTTTCTAGAAAATGGTTCCATAACTTTTTTTGGCCAGTCAGTAATGAAATTTTCATTTACTGTACTTTGTAGTATAACTCTTTACCAGTAAAATACAGCCTCAGAGAAGTCTCTCCGACGTCTCAAGAAAAATGTATTTAGA